GACCACCAATGAACTCCTTTTAGCAGGGGTTCCTGAAACCTGAAAATTATTTCAAGGGTTCCTCTGGGATAAGAAGGTCGAGGAAAGGCTGCCCTAGTTACACAGATGTATTTGAAGTCATTTAAGGCCAGAGAAGATAATGAGCCGGGGTCACCCCTGCCCCCCCCCCCATCCTGACCTAGACAAAAGCGCAGCACACGTCCATGGGACAAAGGCCTGTTGGGGAGGGGGGATTCACAGCTATTGTAGGAAGCGGGTGAAGCTATAGATGAAGTGGTTTTCCGGGTGACGGGCTGAGCTGGCCTCCTTCCGCACAATTAGCAGCAGCACTCTACATTGAGACATGGGGACCATATGGCCCCATACTGATGGCAATAGCCTGCTTCTGCTGCTGTACACTGCTGCCACCTACAGGCAATTCCAGAAATGACATTTGCAGATCTTCAACCTTTTTGAATTAGATAAATGGGCCCCTTTTAGCGCCATAGAATGGTTGGTAAAATAATTGCCTCTCTTTGCCCCATGTAAAGCCTCCATTAAAAAAGGCAAAATAAATGTATCTACCTGCCAATGCTACTTCTCTCTTTTCTCATTTTTTTAATGGGCCACAATGCAGCAAGAATACAGCACACCACGCCTATTGTTCATTGCGGTGCATTTACTATGTCCGCAGTCTCTGACCATCTCCTGTAGTATTTCCACAATCTCTGACCATCTCTTGTAGTATGTCTGCAGTCTCTGACCATCTCCTGTACTATGTCTATGACCATCTCCTGTAGTATGTCTGCAGTCTCTGACCATCTCCTGTACTATGTCTGCAGTCTCTGGTCATCTTCTGTATTATGTCTGCAGTCTCTGACCATCTCCTGTAGTATTTCTGCAGTCTCTGACCATCTCTTGTAGTATGTCTGCAGTCTCTGACCATCTCCTGTAGTATGTCTGCAGTCTCTGACCATCTCCTGTAGTATGTCTGCAGTCTCTGACCACCTCCTGTAGTATGTCTGCAGTCTCTGACCATCTCCTGTAGTATGTCTGCAGTCTCTGACCATCTCCTGTAGTATGTCTGCAGTCTCTGACCATCTCCTGTAGTATGTCTGCAGTCTCTGACCCTCACCTGTAGTATGTCTGCAGTCTCTGACCATCTCTTGTAGTATGTCTGCAGTCTCTGACCATCTCCTGTAGTATGTCTGCAGTCTCTGACCCTCACCTGTAGTATGTCTGCAGTCTCTGACCATCTCTTGTAGTATGTCTGTAGTCTCAGACCATCTCTTGTAGTATGTCTGCAGTCTCTGACCATCTCCTGTAGTATGTCTGCAGTCTCTGACCATCTCCTGTAGTATGTCTGCAGTCTCTGACCATCTCCTGTACTATGTCTGCAGTCTCTGACCATCTCCTGTAGTATGTCTGCAGTCTCTGACCATCTCCTGTACTATGTCTGCAGTCTCTGACCATCTCCTGTAGTATGTCTGCAGTCTCTGACCATCTCCTTTACTATGTTCGCAGTCTCTGACCAGCTCCTGAGGTGGAGCTCTAATAGGAAGAGGTGGTGCCTAAAGATGAAGGGGTTCAGTTTAAGATGAAGGGGTGGATCTTAAAAAGGAAGGTGTGGGACAAATTTAGATGGGGGAGGCGATTTTAATCTTGCCTAGGGCAGAACAAAACCAAAATTTTGTTTATGGGATGCCCAGTTTGGCTTGAATAAATGAAGGTGGGGGACAACTTCCTTCCTATGTACAGAAACAGATCCGGGACCGTTCTTTTCCTTGAAAGCCATCAGTTGCTGCGGATCAGTAGCAATAGCCCTTTATGGGTGGGGAACTAGCAGCCCTTAAAAAATCAGCTTAGCTTCTTGTAAGTCCATGTAGAGATGTCTCCTCTCACCTGTAGAACTGCTCCACAGCCTGCAGACACTACCAGCCCTCCTGGCTGCTCTGAAGATCTCCCAAGACAAGGATAAAAGATTGAGCCCAACGCTGTCCTTTAAAAGCTTGCTACTAGTAGCAGTCTCTCCTCTTGTGGATCCCTTGGTGTGCTGATGACCTCACTCTGTCCTCTTTGCTCCCACTGCTTCAGGTATCAATCCCATTCATGCCGTCCTGCTGAAAGTATCTTCATTAACCAACCCTAGTCTGGAGTGCCTGTTCTTTGCATTAATCCTTTGAGGAACTTCCACTTGTGCATCTAAAGATATCTGAATTAAGTAAACCAACTTGGGCCCCAGTGAGCGTGCTGATCTTTCACTGCAGTTTTAAGGGACATTAACATTTCCAACTAAAGAGCTCTTTCTTTGTCTCTTGATCAGGGGCGGACTGACAACTCATGGGGCCCTCGGGCAATAGGGGATCATGGGGCCCCTGTGTCCTTGTCCAAACTCAAAAAAGCCTAAGAAAAAGGTACCAGGGGCAGCTCATGGGGCCCCCTACTGACCCCGGGCCCTCGGGCAGTGCCCAAGTTTCCAAATGGTCAGTCCACCCCTGCTCTTGATTGACCCCCATCACCAGCCTCTGAGATCCCAAAGTGAGCTAGCCTTACTGTTTGGTAGTTCCTCTGCTCTCTGGGAAAGAAACATCTCAGGACTGAGGCTTCTGGTCAATTCAGAATTGCAGGACATTTAGAACTGATTGGGATTTTGCTGTATGTTGACCTTTACTTGAAAGTTGCTGAGAGTGATAGCGGCTTCTGTATACTGAGAGTGATAGCTGCTTCTATATACCGAGAGTGATAGCGGCTTCTGTATACCGAGAGCGATAGCGGCTTCTGTATACCGAGAGCGATTGCGGCTTCTGTATACCGAGAGTGATAGCGGCTTCTATATACTGAGAGTGATAGCTGCTTCTATATACTGAGAGTGATAGCGGCTTCTGTATACTGAGAGTGATAGCGGCTTCTATATCCTGAGAGCGATAGCGGCTTTTATATGCACACGTTTTCTTTACATTTCTTTATTGTGCTCTCTGGTGTTAGTCAGAGGATTCCTGGGCTTTCAGAGAGGGAACATACAAGACAGGGAACCCAACAATTACTCAGCGACCCTTAAGGGGGTAGTGCTACATATAAACACGCACACATGCATGTGTGTTTGAGCTTTGGGGTGCACACCCTAATGCAATGAGCTGCGCACAATTATGAGACTGCTAGTGTTCAAAAGTCACCATTGTACATTATAGTAGTTGAGGTAGAAGAATTAATTTTCACAGTATTATATCCCATCAAGTCACAGGAAGTTGGTCTTCTCCATAACTAAATCCAACTCAGAGGACCAGTCCCAACTCCGAGGACTGGTCTACCACTTGACTCTGCAATTAAAGGGTTGCCAACTGTCCTTTACTATGGGGTATATCTCTCATTTTCAGGGGTGTGTTGCAGCATTCCTCCATTTTCCTTAACTTACAGCCCCCAAGTATTGGCAAATGTCAAGAATGAAGTTTGTGCAGAGATCCTGTCTGGGCTTTTGATATGTCACATTGGTCAATTTGTTCTAAAGCTGAAAGCTGAACATCTACCAATCCACAACTCAAGTAAGTAGGAATATTGGCAACCCTACAAGATCACAAGACAACAGTAAAAAGTAAAACGTCCCTGACCAAAATTCAGGATTGTGGAGTCTTCTGGTTATGATTGTAGACTGCTGATCTTCTAGTTTGTACCAGTACATGATCCGATGTCCATGAATGGCTTTTTACTCTAACCAAAAATTTACCAGCCAGGTTCCTGAGACAAAAACTTCTGAGGCATCACATGGCTGAAGGGAGAGGATAGATAATATCCAAACACAACCCTTTCGGGTTCAGATAAAAACCAAGGCATAGTTCTCTTCACCTCACGATGGAAAGGTTGTTCTTATTATTTTAACTTTTTTTCTTGGGCAAAGCTTCGGGCTACAAAGGATGACCAGCAGCAAAAATAGGACCACCGGACAGAGGACTAAAGAGACCATCCCAACTGAAAAACAAAGAAATTGGTCTATGAGCTAAACGCCAACCAGAAGAAGGCTTTATAAGACCATCATAGGAGACTTACCGGCCTCTAATGGACTATAGCCAGAGGAATGTGTGTGAAACATTGGCTCATCCTAGAAGAGACAACACCCAGATTGATGAAACAGTTATTGCCAAAGATCTACCATACTTATGAATATGAGAACTGTACAAAATGCAAAGTCAATTAACTGAATGTTTAGGCACCACATGGTCTAGCTTAACCAGAACACCTATCACTGACCAGGGAGGGTTGTGAACATTTGGCCTCAGGGAAAACACAACCAACTAACTCTTTCAGTTGAATGTTTAGGCATCACATGGCCTAGCTTAATCAGAACACTTACCATTGACCAGTTTGAACTGGGAACTTTTGGTTGGGAGGAAAACACAACCAACTAACCATGCCACATGGCCTAGCTTGACCAGAATGTCATCCATTGAACAGGGAAGGCTGGGAAAAACACAACTTACTAAGCTTCCCAGTTGAATGTTTAGGTATAACATGGCCTAGCTTACCCAAAATACCCACCACTGACCATGAAGGACTGGGAACCTTTGGCCTAGGGGGGAAGCACAAAAAACTAACCCTTCCAGTTGCATGTTTAGGCATCACATGGCCTAGCATAGCCAGAACACCTACCATTGACCAGGGAGGATTTCAAGCCTTTGGCCTAAGGGGAAAACACAACAAACTAACCCTTCTTGTTGAATGTATAGACATCACATGGAATAGCTTAGCCAAAACACCTACCATTGACCATGGAAGACTTGGAACCTTTGGCCTAGGGGGAAAACACATCCAACTAACCCTTCCAGTTGCATGTTCAGGCATCACATGGCCTAGCCTAACCAGAACACCTACCATTGACCAGGGAGGATTGCAAGCCTTTGGCCTAAGGGGGAAAACAAAAAACTAACACTTCTTGTTAAATGTTTAGGTGTCACATGGTATAGCTTAACCAAAACAGCTACCATTGACCAGGGAGGATTGGGAACCTTTGGCCTAGGAGGAAAACACAACAAACTAAGCCTTCTAGCTAAATGTTTAGGCATTCCATGGTATAGCTTAACCAAAACACCTGCCATTGACCATGGAGGACTTGAAACCTTTGGTCTAAGGGGAAAACACAACCAACCCTTCCATACTGTGCCATGGTGCCACATTGAATGGTGAGCTTAAGACATGGTTTATTGCAACACATCATCAGCTTCCTTTGCAACTCTCGGCATTCATTCACATGACATCCCAGAAGTGCTGGAAGACTTCCCTCTGCAAAAAGGTCAGAGCGGGGAACAGGTAGCTTTATATTGCCCTGTATGTGTCATTGACTGTCCCGCTCTAATCAGGGTCTGAATGGTGGATCCTCACTCAGGGACACTATTCCAATATATCTGATCAATACTGGCCCAGGGAACAAATGTCCACTGGTCCAGTCTTTCCCTGTCTCCAACCCAATACTTCCCTGCTGTGGACAGTTTTAACTCTGAATTTGGAATCATCATGGTAGGTGTGGGGGCTCTGGGCATGTCTTGGTTTGGCAAAGTCATAAAACATACAGGCCTGCCTCGTAAAAAGAGAATTTACCCAGAAATCCTTACAGCTTCTCAATAGGTGTTTTTTCAAAGTTTTTTTGGAAGTGTTAAGAACGTTTTCTTTTCAGGGGACAGTTTTGGGGGTTGTGGGAGGGGCTCTCGCTATTGTACTCACTATGTAGGTCTGCGGTCGGTCCTTCAGACAGGTGACATCTTTCTCTTCCAAGAACCGGTGGAGGAAACGATGACTGCAGTCACTGAACATGTCGTTCATGTTGTATCTGCAGAGCAGACAATATAAGGTTACTATGGGTGCTGTGATAAGCATTAAAATATATTAAAGTGGTAGTAAAGCCACTATTCCTCCCACTGACACCAATGAGGGGTCACTATTCCACTATTCCTCCCACTGACACCAATGAGGGGTCACTATTCCACTATTCCTCCCACTGACACCAATGAGGGGTCACTATTCCACTATTCCTCCCACTGACACCAGTGAGGGGTCACTATTCTTCACACTGACACCAATGATGGGACACTGTTCCTACCACTGAAACCAATAATGGGGCACTATTCCTCCTAATGACACCAATGATGGGGAACTATTCTTTCCACTGACACCAATGATGGGGCACTGTTCCTCCTAATGACAGCAATGATAGGGCACTATTCCTCCCACTGACACCAATGATGGGGCACTATTCCTCCCA